GACGACAGTTGAGCGCCCTTTGTCAGCGGGCAGGGTAACGATATCCTTCCTCTCTCGTATTCTTAGAAATTCACGGGATTCTGATTCGGAAATCATCATCTGGCTTCTGTGCTGGAGGAGTAAAGACGACACCTTTTGCCTTATGACATTTTTGCACTCCTCGTCTGTCTCACATTTCTGAAGCGCCGACTCGAAGGATGCAATGAAGTCTTCTGCTCGAGCATCCCTTGTACTGCATTTGGCGTCATAGGAAAGGATCGCTAACTGCGGCTGGGTGAGACGATGTGATGAAAAGTTGTAAACCAGATTTCCGTCAAAGGCGGGTTGATTTGGTAGACATATTTTTTTTAATTTCTCCAGTATATGGGTGTCGCGCAGCTTCCGGTGATACTGAACACTTCTAAAGACAGCCGTTTACAGAGTTGAGAAGTCATGCGCCGTTAGGATTGTCCGGCAGGCTGCCAATTTCTGGTAGTATTTGTGAATGCCAATTTCTGCCAATTTCTGGTAGTATTTGTGAATGCGTCCGTGACAATCTTATTTAAGCAATATGACCATTTGCTTCTTGTATTTATGCCATGGTACGTTCGCACAGGTCGGTATGAGCAGGTGGTCTATACATCAGGCATTTAGGTAAGACGTCCTCGTCAGTGCAGCAGTGCACGAAATTCAGCTGAGTGTAGGTGGATGACTACCGCTTCGCAAAGGGCTCCCATCTGTGTGCTGAGGAGAAGGCTTCGCGCCCATAGTATAAGTCAATATGTACGGCATCCTATGAATATTAGGATGTTGTGACAACGGCTAACGTTCCAATAAGTCAACTCCATAAACGGAATCCATCTCTTGCATAAATTATATAATCACATGCTTCAACTTTTACCTTTTTGTGAGGGCCCCTTCGTAGTAAAATGTAAGGGTTAATGAAAAAAAATGAAAATTATCGTTAAACATGAACAATTAGTACGAGTAAATTAGCTCAAGTGTAGTTAAACTTACAGCCTCCTGGTGGGGCCTCTTAGTTCAGTTGGCTGATGGGGTTGTCTTTGCTAAAGTTTTGCCCTTGCTAACGTCGGTTCGAATCATACTGAGGCCGCCAACTTTTCACAAATTCCTCCGCTAACGCTAATAATGCGTTTCAGGGTATAACAGTCCACGGATTAGAATATCTGCATTTCTAAAATCGATAAAAAAGCTTAGGTTAGTCAAAATAATCCCCCTTCTCGCATTTTGCTTCATCTGGTTAACCTGAAGCAAACAATCAATAATGAAGTGTAGACATATCCGCGTGAAGGAATTAGCATGATTTAGTTCATTTCTTGTCAAAGAAAAAAGGTAAACGGAGACGGGAACTGATTTTATGTTATTTATCAGTAAAAATACCTCAGAATATTACGTAATATCGAGAGGTGTTAATAGCGGTAAGGTTAATCCTACGGCTGCGCTCTTGCATATCCGGTTTCGTAGGAGAAGGAACGCCATGGTAAGGGCAGAGTGGTATGAAAGGAATATTCTTTACAGAGGGGTTGAATAATATTTATTTAGTAGGAGGCTTGACTCGGATTGGTGGGCCTCCAGTCTTGAGAGTAAAACGACACCGAAAACGCTGTGAGCGGCCGCTC